GTAAGTCCCAATAAACTCTTTCTTCTATAAGTTGCCTTGGTCATGATGTCTTATCACAGCATCAGAAGGTAACTAAGACACTGAGCTAGGCTACTTGCTGCTTTTTCTGGTATGGTTTGAATGTGCTCCTCAAGCAAGGTTCACATATCTGGGGGGACTTTGAGGGATGATTGAGATTAGAAGCAATCATAATGTCCCCATAGTGGCATTAATTACTTTATAAGAGGAGGTACCCCGAGCTGGCTAGTGCTTACCCTACCTCTCCACAGGATGCCCTCCACCATGTTATAATACTGCTAAGGGTCCTCTCTAGCTGCTGGCCACTGTATACTGGACTCTCCAGCCTCCAGAAGAGTGACTCAACAAACTGCCACTGTTTAACATCTGCCGACCTGCAGTATTCTATTATGGCAGCATGAAATAACCATGGCATGTCTTACTAAATCCAGTAACAGCCAATACCTGTACAGCACTCTGCCCTCTTCCAAAGGCCTTGCTAACACCACGTTATTATCCAGTCAGTGACACATAAAGTGACTTCTAAAATTCTCTCAGCACCTGAGGTACTAGGGTGGAGTGCCCTCCCTAAAGCTCACAGAGATAGGAAGCATCAGAACCAGGACTCCAGCTCAGGTGCAGTTGCTCCAACTCTGGGGTCTTTCCCACCCTGCTCTTGGGATTTGCAGGGTCTTGAGATCTTTGCCCTTGCTTTTTGTTCTGGCTTCGCTTAGCGTGTTTCCCTTGCTCTGTTTCATTGGTATTACCCTTTTGATTCTGCTGCCCCCAAAACAAACAGGAGCCTGATGTGTCCTGGGCTGGAGCATGCAAGCTGGAAGCCCAGGGCCGACTTCAGCTCATGATGCATCTTGCTCTTTGTAAGTGTCTTAAAGATTAAAACATTTACACAAAACCAAAAATAAGAACTAACTCGTGATCCAGCTCTATACCTCTTGGGTATATTCACAACATACCAAGAGGCACCTGCACGTCCATATTTATTGCTGCATTAGTCACCATAGCCATGATCTGGAGCCATTCTAGATGTACACAAAGAGATGAATGGGGAGAGAAAATGTGCATATAAAATGTGGTGCATATACGCAATGGAATTTGACTCAGCTTCAAAGAAGAATGAAATTACAGCACATACACACGAAGATGTGGAAGCAGAAAGGGGACTGTGAGAAGGGGAAGAGGTGGGAAGGAAGGGGGAGTAGAAACAAGAGACGGGGGGGGGGGGGATATATGTGGCACGGTATAGCAATTTTCTCCAAACTAAAACATTCCTTTCTGGAGGGAGGGTGGTGGTGGGAGGTCCTCAGGACTCGAGTTCAGGCCCCTCCCCTCAGTTATGAAAGTGTCAGCGACTGCTGGGGAGAAAAGTCTCTAATGGCCGAGCTGCCTGTGAGTGTTGCCGCAAGCTCCAGGGAAGCTGCTTTTGTGAATCACCATCCAAGCTGGCGTGGGCTTTTAGTGATGAATCTCCCTCCCGCTCACCTAGTAAGCAACTCCTCACCCAGTTCCTGCAAGTCCCCCCCCCCCCCCCCCCCCGTAAACTCACTGGCTCACCAAACTAGAGTTGGGTGACATTGTGTCTTTGGTCTGTTGTCTGTTCCTTGTCTGAGATGAATAGACATTTGTTCACATCCCTCCAGGAAAAGTCACACAACAGACATGAAACCAGGAAGGGGTCTGTTGTGAGGATGGATGGACAGAGGACAGTGAAGGGTAGGGAGAGGGACGCAGAGGAGAACAAACTAAAACAAAGTGTAATGACTCATGTGTGAAAATACCACGGTGAAACCCATCCCTTTGTATGTTATCCAAAAATATTAATTAAAAAACTTTACACCAAGGTCTAACTATTCACATTTGCTCTTTCTGGCTCACAACAGTACCTACCACTTTCCGGGGAGCTTATTTCTGGCTGTTACATGGATTAGTCTGTCTTGTCACAAAGTGACATCTTCCCTCATTTGTCTCCTCTGTTCTCCAAGCTGCAGGAGAATGCATGTCTTCCATTAGTCGGTCACCTGCGTCACTCCAGCCCAAGACCATGCTTGGATAATCAGCTAGATTGCTGATCCATACTTATTACCTTCATTAAAATATAGAGTAGAAGTAAAATGTCCAAAGTAGGGCGGGAGGCAGTGCCCAGAGGAGTGACCACCCAAGGAAGGCTGGGGGCAGCACCAGAAACCTGCAGAGGGAGGTGTCTGAAAGTCACTGCGACTCACAGTGATCCAGAGACAAGCTGTTGGGAAACCCCTCTCCTCTTTGAATTGAATCCTAGTTCCAAGTTCCGTGGAAATGAGCCACGTTATATCAAGTAGCTGATTTCTTAATACGCTAATTCATCTCTTTCTTCAGGGTAGCACACTCGTGCCTCCGTTCACCATCTGGCCCTCTGAGTTTGTATGAATGGAAGCCAGCCAAGACGTACGCAGGTTCCGAGTGGGAAGCATGTGTGCACAGCCCCACTGCCAGTGGTACTGTCCCACATCCCAGAGCCAGGAGAGACGCCTTCCTTGTCCTCTTTCCTCCAAGTGTAAGCGTTTGTCACTCGAAGAGACATGGAAATAGTCCTTTTTAAGGGAATGGTGCTGTGCTGTCTTAAAGGACAATGCAAATAAAGCGGTGGCTTTGTGGGTTTCTGTTGGAAAGACCTAGGGCTCCGTGTTTCTACTTGGAGATTCAATTCTGGAATATAGTTACAATCATAAAGGAAGAAGCATTTGGGGTAGAGGAGCTTGCTTCCAAACCAAATCTTCATTTAAAGCAAGAGACTATTTTCGGCCGTTTTTAGTAAGTAACAACTTTTTTTTTAATCTACTGGGAAAATAGCCAAGAGGAAAATCAAAGCAGGGGATCATTTCTGGGAGGCAGAGATGAATCCTAAGATCTTTGCTGAGCATGAGAAGTGTGAGGGCCCTTCATTCTTTCTTTCCCATGCCCCATTTCTCTCTCAAATCCATGTTGTTGTTGTTCTTTAATTTGGTAACAGTGATGGTTAATTTATGTTCGATTTGATGGAATTTGGAATCATCAGGAAAACACACCTCTGATGTCTATGAGAGTTTCCTGAGAGGTTTGACTGAGGCGACACACCCTTCATACAGACAGCAACATACCATGGGGTGGCGGCCAGGCCTGAGAAAAGGAGAAAGCTAGCTAAACACCAGCATTTATTTCTCTTGGCTTCCTGATTGTGGACACAATCCCTACCGCAGAATCTCCCCAAAGTGATGGACTGTAGCCTGTCTGCAAGCCAAATTTAACCCTTCCTCCATGAAGTTGCTACTATTGGCTTCCTAGTCTCAGCAACAAGAAAAGTAGCTATCATAGTAATGCTTATGCCTTTGAGTTTTAGCCTTGTCAAAATCCCTCCACAGTGGCTAGGTTGAGAAGCAGCCTCACCCACCCTTTGCCCTCCATTGTTCCAGTTACCAGTTGCTAACTACAATTCAAGCTCTTTACACAGGAAATTCCACAAATAAATAATTCACTACTTTCAAACGGCACCATTTTGGGTAGCATGATACAATCCATCTACTCGGTAGGGAAAGCATCCATTTATCCAGTCTATCCACACAGCATGTACCATCTGCCCACTGTGGGGAGCTATCTCAGTTTTCAAACTATCTTCTGCAGTTTCAAAGGTGATGTTCAAGAACTCCTGTATAGTGTCCTAACACTACCACACACTGCCCTTATCATTGGCTCCACCTTCTTGTCTCACACAGTACTATCCCATCGAATGTCATCTCATGAAGAAGGGTGGGTAGGGTGTAATGGGGTATTTTGGAGGAAAGACATCACATAGCTTATTACAGAAAATTGTTATAAATATTCTGTTTTATTGTGAAGTATTATATTTTATGTATTTGTTTTATTTTTAACTCTGTGTGTGTGTATGTGTGTGTGTGTGTGTGTGAGTGTGTGTGTGTGTGTGTATGTGAGAGAGAGAGAGAGAGAGAGAGAGAGAGAGAGAGAGAGAGAGAGAGAGAGAGAGAGAACACATGTGCGTGCACGTGCTGGAAGAGGAAAGAAGAGGACATTGGGCCCGCTGGAACTGGCGTTCCAAGCGGTTGTGAACTGCCCAGCGCGGGTGCCGAGACTCAACCTCAGCTCCTCTGCAACAGTGGCAAGCACTCTTAACTACTGAGCCATCTTCGAGCCCTGTTATTTTTAATGTATAAATTGTAAGTTAAATTTTGTCACAGGTGTACTTGTATAGAGCAGAACCCAGTAGTTCCCTTCTTAGGGAAGGACACACATACCTGAAGCTGAAGGTGGAGCCACATCTCACCTACACCCTCTTTTCTCCTGTAGTACATGCCCATGATAAAGACAGTGTATAAATTAGGCACAGGATGGGATTAGCAACAATTACACAATAGACAATTGAAACAGTATGCTGCAAGGTAATTGCCAGCATCAATAGTCTTGAGCTTTGACACCGTTATTAGAGATTTTTACAATTATTCATTATTTTGTGTATTATATTATGTGGAGGGGAGCAATGTCCAGCACTGGTGTAGAGAGCAGAGGACAACTTGCAGGAGTCAGGTTTTCTCTTCCATCATGTGGATTCTGGGGGTTGAATTCAAACAATAGAGCTTACATTTCTCTGTCTCTCTGTCTCTCTCTCTCTCTCTCTCTCTCTCTCTCTCTCTCTCTCTCTCTCTCTCTCTCTCTTTCTCTGTGTGTGTATTATTATGTGGCCACACATACTAACTCAGGCTATCAGCCTTGGTGGCAAGCATCTTTATCCACTCAGACATCTTGCCAGCCTCTCACCATCATTAAGCAAGATAATACTTAACATAAGGACTGCCATGATGATGTGAGTTGAGTTCAGGAGAGCTTTTCCAGGCTCTTGGTGGACTTGACTCAGGGGACTAGGGTTCTGGAAACTCAACTGCCACCAAAGCCACCCAAGCCAGTGGCTTCCAAATGCATTGCCTCATGTCCCAGAATAAGGAAACACAGACAAGGAGTGAGCCAAGCAAATACGGGTTTATTAAGGAAAAGTGAGAAAACTCCTGAGTATGACAGGCACATACAGTCTTCCCTGTGGCCCTTCGTGGGTCTTATGGTAGCAAGTGGATGAAGACTGGGTGATCTGTATTGTGATTGGTCATTTTTTTTTTAGTGCATTATGAGCCAAACCAGTAAGGAGCCCACATATCTTGACCAGTTCGATAGTTATTTGCCTGTTCCAGGGTTGGGTCGTGAATGCCACATAAGCAGCTCATGATCCACCATCAACCCTGTCCTTACTGCCTAAGGGAAGCTAGTTCCTGTCTCAATACTCCAGCAGTGGGTCTAGTAACGGAAATGACCAGGTGTCATACACAGCATGGAGACACTGGACAGGACGATTCACTGTCCATCCCAGGCAAGACAGGAAGGACAGTGTGGGGTTTGAAAATGCTATTTGGGAGCCGGATGGTGGTGGCATGTGCGCCTTTAATCCCAGCACTCGGGAGGCAGAGCCAGGAGGATCTCTGTGAGTTCAAGGCCAGCCTGGTCTACAGAGTGAGTTCCAGGACAGGCACCAAAACTATACAGAGAAACCCTGTCTCAAACCCCACCCCACCCCCCCAAAAAAAAAACAACAATCAAAAAAAATGCTATTTGGGCTACCATGCAATTTAAGATGTATGAGATGTCTATTTCTGGAATTTTCCATTTAATATAAGTTTAGCGGTTAAGATAATTCTTTCCCATCCTGTCTTAAATGCCAAGGTCTTGACTGCCATTGTCCTTACTTACCTTCATTTTTCTCCCACAAGGGACTCACTTTGCTGATCAGGTTCTGTCTGTTCCAGTGTCTCTCTGAGGTGTTTAGAAAGTGATATAAAGGAATTAACACCTGACCTCCTTTGGTGATATATGTTCAATTCTTTGAAAAGAATGTTTATTTTCGAATAGCAATGTCAGAGTTGGGTATAGTGTGATATGCCTGTAATCAAGTCCTCAGGAGGCAGGAGCAGCAGAATCAAGGCCAGTCTGGGCTGCACGGGATGTTGTCTCAAAAAATAAAAGCAAGAACAAAAATATGCCAATGCAAAATTCTTCAAAATAAAATGGTGCCTCATAGTTGATCATGAACAAATGTTTTTGAATGTATAATCTAGTTAACTATGAATAATTTGAAATACATGAGTTCTTGTTCGCATAACTCTGAGAAATGTGAATAATTTTGTAATTGCTAATTTAATTTTCTGTAGAATTTGCTGTTTTGCTATTGTCCTGTTTTTCCATAAACAGTCGTGGCTGCCATCTCCATACACTCACTCGGCACATCAGAGTGTATGTGAAGCTCACCGTATGTGTGTTTTCTAGTGTGGTCCTCCCAGGCTTTCTGTGAAGCAGGTGCTATAGTCTCATGTGTGCATCTTCTAATGCGGTCCTCCCAGTCATTCTGTGAGGCAGGTGTTATGAGCTCATATGTGCATCTTCTAAGGCGGTCCTCCCAGGCTCTCTGTGAGGCAGGTGCTATTTGAAATGTAGGACAGAAAAGAAACGTATATGAGACAAATGGCAGAAGCCCAGGCTGAGATTGGAAACTATGCCCTCGGGCTAGCAGATGGCTCAGCTGGTTAAGGCACGCGCTGCCAAGACAAACCCGATGACCTGGGTGATATCACAGAGACCCACATGTTGGAAAGAGAGAACAGATTTCTACGCATTGTTCTCTGGATTCTACATGTATGGCATGGTACACATGTACCCACACACCTTCAAACCCCCACCCCCACACATGGCATGGTACACACGTACCCACACACCTACAGCTCCCCATGCTCCCGCTAAATAAAAACTTTAAAGCAAATTTAAAAAAAAAAGGAAAGAAAAATGCAGTAATATTTTTTTTCTCAAAGAAAGAAAGAAACAAACAAACCTTGCCCTCCTTTGAGCTTTCTTCCATCATAGCATATAGGTTGACAAGAAAGGCTCTGTTCAGATTCCCTGAATGAGAAGTCTGACACTGAGGTAGGTAACCTTGGGTCTGTTACCTCTGTGCTTGTCTTCTCCTCTGTGGGGTGGAAACGATAGCTACATCCTAGGGTCCTCAGAAGGCTTAAAGAAATGAGCACACTGCACACAATGGCAGAGAAGACACTTCCTTCAGCCTTCCTATGGGCAAATCTGTGTGAGGATGTCCATCTTAACTGGATATCGATATTCCTTCCTCTGGATATCGAGTTCCCTTCCCTACTGTACTGGCAGCAGTGATCTGGAGTCTTCTCCCCCACACAAGGAGCATCATCCGTGACTTCAGGCTCTTATCTCTGTGAGGCTCAGATGCTCAGCCTCTCAGCTTCATCATCAGATAAAGGATAGCGTGACTTCATTCCCACTTCAGTCTTCCCACAAAAAAAAAAAAAAAAAAAAAAAAAAAAAAATGAAATCTGGTAAGACAGAATGCTAACACACTTCAAAGCTCCTGTTATATAATTCAAAAGGAGTTTAGAGGCTTGCTTTATTTATCTTAAATTATTCATAGCATAAGTCTTTAAAATATTTAAACTCCTATACCGTCAAAGGAAAATGCTGATGGAGTGTTTTCTATGGAGAAAAGGAAGAGGGGCTAGGGAAGCTGGGGCTAGAGCGGGCTATGGCAGAGCAGCCGGGCAGGCTTCAAAGGGATGTTCCTGCACGCTCCAATTTCTAGACCAAGGAATGCTTCCCTTTGGGGATCAAGGTTTTGCCAAATGGGATTAATTTTTTTTTCCAAATGTTGCTTCCAAGGAGGAGCCTTTAACAAAACATGCAAAGATGTGAAGAAGTGGAAATGTCCTTCCTTCCATAGCTAATGAAACCACTCATTAGTGGAACACCAGGGTGCTACTAGCTAGACACTCCGTGCAGCTGGCACTCATTCTGAGGAGGATGATTCATTACCATGGTTACTGATGCTGGAAATATTACCTTCTGCAATCAGCATGCACACAGGCCCTTTAAGAGACTGTAAAAATTAGAGCACTGTAAACAATTCGTGAAAATTGTCCCCTGCCCTGGGGCTGAGCTTACACAATGCTACCTTCAGGGTATAAATGCAGAGGGGGCAGTGGCTGGAACCAGTGAATCTTCAGAGGCAAGACAGAAAAGCAGGGAGTGAGTATAGGTTCCACCCCTGCCCCTCCCTTACCATTTGTGTGTGTGTGTGTGTGTGTGTGTGTGTGTGTGTGTGTGTGTGTGTGTGTGTGTCTGTGTGTCTGTGCAAGCTTGTGATAAGGAACCTGGTAGAGTGACATCTGCCTGCCTGATTAGTGTTTTTACGATCAAATTCTGGTTTGCCAAGTGCACAGTCAGCTTTGCAAACAGCCTTGGGGAAATGACTGCACATTGTGGTGAAGTAGTTCTAAAGTCCAGCGTGCTTCCTTGGAAACAAGGTAGGATAAAGAACTTCAGGAAAGAATCCGAAGGTACCTCAGGGTTGGAGTGTTTGCCTGATCACAGATTTGATCTCCAGTACACACAGAATATACAGTCAAGATGAGTGGATCCCTGCCACCACAGAAAAAGTAAACAGATAAAAAAAAAAAAAAGACAAGAGAGGGAAGAAGGAAGAAGGATGGGAGGGGAAGGATCTGGGACTGGGAGGCGTAGGGATGGTGGGAAGGGATGGAGAGGGGGGAAAGAAACTAGTTTTACGGAAGGGAAGCTCATTACGTGCATGCAGATTCTGATTTCAGCATCTCTGGATTACTTCCCAACTTTGGGAACAGGAAGATAGACAATCCGTCTCTGAGAAATCTTTGGCTGTGAGTGAATCACTCCTGTATACTTTCAGCTCTATTGCGGGAATGCTAGCACCTTCAGGCACTCCTTCCGATTGAGAAACCTGCCTGACTCCGTTTTGAAGGCAGGAGCCATTATGCTGTATTGTTAAAAGTTTCTAGTTACTGAGCTTCCTCTGCTTCCTGGAACCTGACTGTCACCAACCTGTGACCTTGACTTGTTTTTGAAGATATCCTTACATTCCCTGACCCTCCCTGCACCCTTCCTAATCACATGGGTGAACACATGATAGTTTTATTTTGTTTGTTGTTGTTGTTGTTTTAGTATTTTCCCTGTAGTTCCTTATTGCCCCATTGTCTCTCTTCAGTAAAAACTACTTATGATTTTCTCCTTAAAAGGGACCCAAGGAATGGATTCACTGCTGCTCTCTTTAATTCACCTTAGGAGGCATTATCTGGCCAGCTCTTGGGTGTACCCCAATAAAAAAATTCAAGCTTGCTTCAAATTTGACTCAAACTGTGGTAATGGTCTTATTCTCACTGTTGAGATTAACATTTTCTGGATGCCCCAGTGAGATGCAGACCACCCACCCAAATTCTAAACCCAGACCTTCCCTCCAGAACTCCTGGGGGTGGGGCTGGGGGACTGCCTTAGGAGGCACATGCCTTGAGAGGTTCCAGGGTTCTGAGATTGCCTTCAGTGTGCTGAGAAATTCAGCAAGCATCTATGGAGGCCTTCTGGTGAGTTACAGTCTGCTTCTGCTTTGTGGGATCCCTATATTGGATGTGGAGGGGGTTCAACAGGACCCCAATATTCTCCTGTCCAGGGCAAAAAGTGAGACGTTGCACTGCCCACCTGAGGTTGGTGGTCTGTTTTTATGTCCTGTTTGCCTTGTCTTTTTACATCTTGTCTTATCTTGCCTTCATTTTTACTGTACTCTTTCTGTCTTTTATGCTTTCTGTGTTGATTGGTTTGTTTTGGACTTGGGGCAACTGAACTAATGAATAGTAAGGTTAATAAGACTAGCAAGCCTGACTGCCCTCTAACCTGTGTCCTAAAGAATTTTGGTAAATCTTACCCTGCTATAGTTAAGGAGGATTATGATTCTCCTAGCACCAAGAGTCACCTCTGAACATTCTGTGAAACTGAGCGGTCCACATTCAGGGCTGACTGGCTCTCCCAGGGTACTTTTGATTCTCAGATAGCCTGGGCAGTGGTGCATGTCACCCTCGGTAAGCCCAACCACCCAGATCAGATTGGATACATCTTGCCTCAGGCTGAAGTGACTTCCAACCTGTCCCCTGATGAAGGTCTATATGGTCCTCAATGGGCAAGGGGGCCGTGCCCTGGTTGTCAGCAGATGGACCCTTCAAGGGCCTGTAGCAGAGACCAATGATCTCCCTCTGAAAACTGTTCTGCAGGGCTCACAGGAGGAAGAATCCCTCCTCCCTCCGTATAACCATCTTCATCCTCTTCTCCCCTCCTCACCTCAACATCCACTTTGCCACCCCAGTCCCCACCAAAGGCCTCACTTTGCGACCCCATCTGTACCCACCCCTACTCCACCATCTAGTTCTTCCCTACCTCTGCCTACTCCCACCTTCAGCTCTTTCCTACCTCCCTCTTCCTTTCCCCCTCCCCACACCTGCCGGAGAGCCCCATATGGCCCTCCCAACTTCCCCTCTGATCCCGATTCTGGGGTGGCTCCTCCTTCAGTCCTCACGCCCTGACAGTCATTTCCTGACAATTGCTACCTGTGTGTCCCTTTCTCCACACAGATCTCTACAACTGGAAGAACCAGAACCCCCCTCTCAACCCTAGACCCGATTCCTTAATTTCCCTAATTGAGTCTGTCCTTTTCAATCATCTCTCCACATGGGATGACTCTCAGTAGACTCTCCATACCCTCTTCACTGCTGAAGAAGGGGAACGAATTCTCATGAAAGCAGTTGAAGCACTCCCCAGAAGAGCTTCAATGGCTGGTGACCAGAGGGCAGAGGTGATTGACCATGCTCTCTGCCAAGAAGGAGACCCCAGTGGGACTGTAGCACAGAGAGAAGCAGGAGGTCACTCAACGAATACCACCAGATTCTCCTTGAAGGGATGACATGGGCAGCCCAAAAGCCCACTAACTTATCTGAGGTAACAGATGTGAAACACAGCCCAGGTGAATTGCCTTCAGCTTTCCTGGAGCATCTCCTGGACACCTATTGGCTATACACTCCTATTGACCCAAAGTACCTGGCAAATCTCAACGCGATTAACCTGGTCTTTGTTACTCAATTGGCCCCTGACATATGTAGAAAGATACAAAAGATAGATGGGTTTGCAGGAAAGAACAGGTGAGATCTATGGGAGATAGCACAGAAGGTTTTTGAAGATCTTCTGATAAAGAAGATGGGGCATGCCACCATGGTTGCACTGAAGCATCAGATACTCTCAACTCTGGCCATGCACACCATGATAAAAGGAGGAGACCTTTACAAAAGGACCAATGTGCCTCCTGTAAGGAAATAGGTCATTGGAAAAACTGACTGTCCATGCCAGAAACAGACCTCCAAACGCAAGCCAATCCTGGCTACAGGATTAGTGAGGCTGAGGCTCCTTTGAACTAGGCCCCCAGAAGCCTATTGTAAACTTCACCATAGGGTGCCAACCTGCAAAATTTCAGGGGCTACTCATTTGGCATTACAAGAGCCTCAGGGCCCCCTTACCAACCAAACAATGGAAGTTCAGGGGTTAACAAGGGATGTCAAAGAATACAAATGGACCACTGACTGGACTGTTAACCTAGGACGAAGGGCAGTGACTCATTGTTTCATTGTTATTCCTGAGTGTTTCTACCTTTTAACTGGGGTGGGACCTCTTGAACAAGCTCCAGGCAACAATATCATTCTCAGGAGGCTCTCCTAGGTTGCAATTGGGAGGCCCTGATTTAACTATAACCTGCCCAAAAAGTGAGGAATAGCTGCCCCTCCAGAATCCAACCCATTCCCTGGAAGAGGAATGGAAAAAGTTGCTGACCCAGGAAACTCCTACAGTTTGGGCAGAGGACAAGCCTCCTGGCTTGGCCAAACGTGCCACCCATCATAGTGCAACTAATATCTGGGGCAATGCCCATTCGAGTCAAGCAACACCCCATCAGTTCAGAAGCCAGGGAAAGGATTAAGATTCACATCCTTGAAGCAGGCATACTTATTCCTTGCTAGTCAGCCTGGAATGTCCTCTTGTTGCCTGTCCAAAAGCCTGGAACTCGAGACTATAAACCAGGACAAGACTTGAGGGAAGTGAACAAGAGGGTAGCGTCCATTTACCCAACTGTCCCAAGTCCCTATGCTTTGCTCAATTTCTTACCACCAGAACATAAAGTTTACATTGTGTTGGACTTAAAAGATGCATTCTTAGCTGGGCGGTGGTGATGCATGCCTTTAATCCCTCGGGAGGCAGAGCCAGGTGGATCTCTGTGAGTCCGAGGCCAGCCTGGTCTACAGAGTGAGATTCAGCATAGGCACCAAAACTACACAGAGAAATCCTGTCTTGAAAAACAAAACAAAACAAACAAACAAAAAAAGATGCATTCTTCTCCTTTCCTCTGTCAAAATTAGGTCAGCCCATCTTTGCATTTGAATGGGCTGATTCTGAATATCAGGATAACTAACCTGGACCAGACTGCCTCAAGGGGTCAAAAACTCCCACCATCTTTGATAAGGCACTCGACCAGGATATAAGTCTCTTCTGTAGTAAGTTCCCTGAAGTAACTTTGCTTCAATATGTAGATGATTTGTTATTGGCTGCTAAAGATGAAGAGGACTGTCTGAGAGCCACCAGGGGACTTTTGGAAACTCTAGCCCAGTTAGGCTACAGAGTTTCTAAAAGGAAAGCCCACATTTGCTCTCTCCAAGTTACTTACTTGGGATATGAACTGAGAAGGGAAAAGACTATTGTCCCAGGCCGGCATAGCAGCCGTACTACAAATTCCAACTCCAACCACCAGGAAACAAGTTAGGGAATTTCTGGGAGCTGTTGGATATTGCTGTCTTTGGATACCTGGGTTTGCTGAAATTGTCAAACATTTGTACTCTGCTACAGCTGCAGGCAACCCCCCTCTGGAATGGACTGAGGAACATGAACAGGCCGTGTAAGAACTTAAAAGAGATCCTGGTACAAGACCCTGCATTAACTCTCCCTGGTATCTCCAAGCCCTTTCATCTTTATGTCCATGAAAAAAAGGACATTGCCAAGGGAGTCCTGACTCAGACCCCGAGTCCCTGGAAAAGGCCCATAGCTTACATCTCAAAGAGACTGAATCCTGTAGCCTCTGGGTGGCCCCCGTGTTTAAAAGCTATCATAGTCACTGAAATTCTTGTAGAAGAAGCTGATAAACTCATGTTGGGACAGATCCTAACTGTAACAGCTCCACACGCTGTGGAAGCTCTGCTGAGAGATGCCACCAACTGGTGGATGTCTAATGCCCATCTGACCCAGTACCAATCCCTTCTTTTAGATAAGAACAGACCGACTTTTGATAAATCACTGGCCATTAATCCCTGCTGCCAGTTGATGACCCTGAGGAGTACATCCATGAATGCCTAGAGATGCTGGACATCATCCAAATATGTGACCTGACCTGATAGACATTCCTCTCACTACCAGAGATATGGAGGTCTCTATATGGATGGCAGCAGCTTCATTCAAGAAGGAACCACATATGTGGGGGTGGCAGTAGTCATAGTCCAGAAGGAGGTCATTTGGGCACAAGCCTTGCTGAGGGGCACATCTGCCCAGAGAGCAGAAATAATTGCTCTGACACAGGCTTTAAGATGGGCTGGAGGAAAAAAGGTAAACATCTACACAGACAGCTGATATGCTTTTTCCATGGCTCATGTTCATGGACAGATATATAAACAGAGGGGGCTTACTTATCTCAGAGGGAAAGACTATCAAAAATAAAAATGAAATTGTCTAATTGCTGGAGGCCATCTGTCTACCAACTGAACTAGCCATAATTCATTGGACAGGATATCAAAAAGACAAAAATCCCCAAACTCAAGATAACAGCCATGCAGATCAAGTTGCCAAAAGAGGATGCTCTTGGGGAACCCAAACCCTAGACTGTCCTGGAACTATCTGCGGTCCCAGAGCCCCTACTCTGCTATAATGAAGATATTCCTGAGTACAATCCAGAAGAGATTAAGTCACATTCTGACTTGGGGGCTCAGGAGAGCTGCAATGAATGATGGATCTTGCCTGATGGAAGAATGTGCATGCCAAAGGTACTGGGCCAACTGTCTTGCATCATGCCATGAACTTGTCACCTGAAGATCTCAGAACTCATCTCCCCCTCCATGTCTGGCCACCTGGATACTGAAAGAAACTTCAGAGCAGAGCATTTCAGACCACTGCCTGACCTGTGCCCAGGTAAATGCAAAGAAGGACATACTTCCCACAGGTCAATGGAGTCAAGGTAGAGTAGTACCCAGTGAATTTTGGGAATTGGACTTCACTGAAGTCAAGCCAGAATTGTAAAGGCTACAAATATCTGCTGGTCATTGTTGATACTGTCACAGACTGGGTAGAGGCCTTTCCATCCAGAATAGAAACTGTAGAGAGCCGTGCACAGCCGCGCCTCAAAGATGGCGCCGGTGTCCGGCTTCCGCCTTCCCGATGGCAGGTGTTCTCTGGGATAAACAGCTCCTTATTTGGCTTGGGCGTGGAATCTGGCTTGCTTGCGTATGTCTGACCCTATCGGCATTGTCCACGTGGCACTACGGGGTTGGTTGCCCAGTGGCTATAAAGGGCGTGGGCTGGCTTTCCCCGGAGTGAGAAGATGGCTTTCCCCGGGGTCAGAAGATTGTTCAAGGTTTCTGAATAAACTGCTTGGAGAAGAGCCTGGTGTTGTGTCTTCCTTGCTGGTCGAGGTGGACTCGACAAGAAACAGCCCAAGTGATAGCTAAGAAATTCATAATGGAAATTATTCCCAGATTTGGCCTCCACATATCTCTGGGATCTGACAACAGCCTGGCCTTCACAGTTGAGTTATCTTAATTGCTCTCTAAAACTCTTAACATAAATTGGAAACTTCATTGTATGTATCACCCTCAGAGTTCAGGAAAAGTAGAGAGAACGAATGGAAATTTAAAGGAGATTTTAACTAAATATACTCTTGAAACTGGTAGTAAATGGGTTGACCTCTTGCCTTATGCCCTTCTCAGAGTCTGATGTATCCCCTATCAAGAAAAGTTCAACCCATATGAAATAGTCTATGGGTGACCACCACCCATGATCTCTTGGCTACATGCCGGACTATTATCAGATTGCCTCACTCCAATCTCTGAGTCCTTAAAAGGAATGAAATTAACTTTGGATAAGATTCTCCCTCAGGTTCCGGCTGCTCAACCTGCTGGGTACCACCCACCTGATCACCCACTCCAGCCCATGCTGTATTAGTCCACCACTTCAAAACTGACCAGCTTGAGTCTAGATGGAAAGGATTCCTTACATCACGATTCTCTGGACTCCTACTGCTATTAAAGTCACTAGTATTTCTGCCTGGATTCATCACTCACACTTCAAGAAGGCACCCGAGGAACTCACAGAAGAGGAGCCCAACCCCCAGAGGTGGACAATGACTGAAAAAGAACTGGTAAAAATCAAACTTTTTAAGGTTTGACTGCCTAGTATAACTTTGTGTTCTTCCTGTTGAAATTTGCATCACGATTGCCCAATGACTAACAGTTTTGTTGTTTTATTTTCAACCTTTACAGACAGAACCTAAGTGCATCTTGACAGGGGGAAATAAGAGGCACTCTATCATAGGAAACACTCTGATGTTGTCTTGCCATGCAAAAGAGTGCTTTTATCCCCCAGGTCCCATAGTTTGGACAAAAGAAGGGGAACAGTCTTTAGCCAGATGGATAGAGGATACCTGGGATGGACTAATCTAACTGGCCAATCCCAGTGTAATAACACAGACTTAGAATAATCAAATATTCTTTAAAGGGTTCTGATAATGGAAATTACAGGTATGCTAAAGTAAGAAGGGGAAGGGAGGATTCGCTAATCACTTCAATTGAATTTAACATGCCCAGAGTAACCCAGTCTGTAACTAATAATGTGGAATACAATCTCTGGGTCCATCTAGCACTAAAAAGCCAACAAGAAAACTCCTTCTGTATCAGAGGAGATCCCTCTATTCCCTGGCTCTTAAAAAGAAATTTGTATGGAATAGAGGTTTCTTCTGAAAATTATACAATGATAACAGAGGACAAACTGGAACATGCCCCCTCTAATGATTTAAAAGCTGTGACTGATGTTCCTGTTGATAATGTCTCTTTCCTCCTCTGTCTATGTTTTGATTGCACACATGTCCCTTCTTATTGTAATTCCACTTCTCATCACATCCTCACACCCCCACACACCCCCACACCCCTGTAAGCAATTGCCCTTAGGATTTTTCTGTGAAAATAATTCTTATTCTGCACTCCCAGGAGGATATAAGGGTTTTTGTGAGATTGGCTATGTTCTACCTATTTTACTCAGCAAATCTTTACAATCTGTTAATAGAACTACAAGAGCTCTTCCTGAAAAGTGTGATGATTCCTCACATCTATTAGATCCCACTACAGTTGCTGCTACCCCAGCCTTTCTGTTACCTGTCCCAGGACATGTTGTTGGACCACAAAGAGAGGTTTCTAAAACAGCCTGTCTAATTTCAAAAACTACTAATATTACAGTAGAAATATTAGCAGAAATGAATCAAGAAATGGGAGAACTGAGAATAACTGTTCTTCAAAATAGAGCTACTACAGGTTACCTATTACTTAAACATAATCCTGGTTGTCAACAATTTACTGGAATGTGCTGTTTCAATATCTCTGATTCTCTCATACTATTGACAACCAAATTGATGATCTACATAAAGAAATAGGCAGAATCTCTCAAACAAATTGAGACTGGCCAATATGGCTAAGATGTTTCTCCCCCTTCATTGGCCACCTAATACTATTTCTACTAATTACCATAATCAGGCCCTGTGCCCTCTAGTGCGTCACTAACTTGATCACCCACCACATACACAATTCTAGAATCATTGCTGCTCGATGATATTATTAAGACATCCCCCTATCAAAGATTTGACAGGGAAACACAAGTCAAGGGGGGAATGAGGAACCTGCCTGACTCCATTATAATGTATTGTTAAAAGTAAGTTTCTATTTACTGAGTTGAACCTGACCCTCCCCAACTCATGACTTCGACTTGTTTTTGAGAATACCCTTACACTCCATGACCTTCCCTGAACCCTTCCTAATCACATGGTGACCACATGATTTTTTTGAAAATTTTTCTATATTTCCTTACTGCCCCATTGTCTCTCTTCTGTAAAACTACTCGTGGTTTTACTCCTTAAAAGGGGCCCCAGAAATGGATTCACTGCTGCTCTCTTTAGCCCGACTTAGGAGGCAGTCTCTAACCAGCTCTTGAGTGTACCCCAACAAAAAAATCAAGCTTACTTCAAATTTGGCTCAAATTGTGATAGTGGTCTTATTCTCACCTTTGGGATTGACACTATACCTTAAGGTCTTATCCAAACTCAAAAGGTCCCTGCATTCAGAACCCTCTTGTTTGTAAGTCACCCTCATTTGAACACACTCTGGAGGGAAGCCTCCTTTCTGCAGCAGAATCCTCCATGAACATCAAAATCACTGTGTTGGCTAGTTTTATGTTAACCTGACACAAGCTAAAGTCATCTGAGAGGAGGGAGCCTCAATTGAGAAAATGTCTCCATAATATCCAGCTGTAAGACATTTTCTTAATGAGTGATTGATGGGGAAGGGCCCAGCCCATGGTGGGTGATTCTATCCCTGGGCTAGTGGTCCTGGGTTCTATAAGAAAGCAGGATGAGCAAGCCATGAGGAGCAAGCCAGTAAGCAGCACTCCTCTATGACTTCTGCATCAGGTCCTGCCTCCAGGCTCTTGCCCTGTTCGAGTTCCTGTCTTGAATTCCTCTGAAGATGAACAATGATATGGAAGTGTAAGTCAAATAAATCTTTTCATTCATTCAATTGCTTTTTGGTTATAGCTTTTCATCGTACACTGGAAACCCTAACTAAGACAATCACTAAATCAGTCCAAACAAGAGCACAGAAGGGGATAGCTCCTCTAATTACAACACAGTGCTTTTGTGCCTTGCAGCAAGCTCATACGGCCAAATAGAATGCTCTAGATCTCACACTCGACACCATCATCATTATCATCACCACCATCATTATCATCACCACCATCATCATCATCATCACCACCATCATCATTATCATCACCACCATCAACATCATCATCATTATCATCGCCATGATCATCATCATTGAGACAAGGCCTCATTCCATAGCCTAGGCTTGCCTGGAGCCCATTATATCACTCACAATGGCCTCAAACTTGCAGCAATCCTCCCTCCTCAGACTCCTGGATCCTGAGATTACAGATGTGAGGTACCGCATCTGACCAATGTGACTAATTACATATTATTTGAAGAATAGCAGTTTACCAGTACTTTATTAGCTATCAGGATGAGGTCAAACAGAGCCAACTTGATAAATATGTACCTATTCACATCCACATCCACACAGCAACACCATAAAGATATACTCTCCACTGAGCAAGGATTTGTTTATAGTTGTCATTAGAGCCTACACATGTAGAAAAATGCTAGTATATATTCTAATATCTACAGTACACACACACACACACACACACACACACACACACACACACTTGAATCAATGTGCAGACTCTCTTTCCTTTGAGTACAAATGGTTGCTGATTAATCTTTAATTCTCCCTTTCCAGAGTGCACAGTAACCAGTCCCTGGGAAGGTTCTTACAGTGTGTCATACTTCTCAGTGGCACAGAGAGAGTGTGCACTGGATTCTTGCTCTTAGTTCTTCAACTTGACTCCTGCCTAGTGGCTCATGGTCTACCTGGTGTGGAGAATGGGTGACACTTTCTGTTTCTGCCCCAGAACTTGAGTCTCCAAGCCCAGACTGGAGTCAGCCTTTGATTCTTCTTTACTTTATATATTTTTAACTTTAGTAGCTGAGAATGGTGGCACCCCTCTGGGTCCTTCTGAACATGATACTTTACCATGAACTTCTCCTTGGTACCAGTGGTTGACACTGAAGTACGAATGGTCTCTGATTTACTGAGGTCCAATCTACAGTTCTTTGTATGCCAGTGGGAAGAAACTGTTCAGACAGACACACAGATTTTTAAAAATTACATCCTTATTTATTTTGTGTGTGGGAAAGCAAGTGCATTTCATGACACACCTGTGGAGCTCAAAGGACAGCTTTTCGGGATTCAGTTCTCTTCCTCCACCATGTAGGTCCCAGGGATTGAACTCAGGCCATCGGGTTTGGCAGCAAGCACGTTTACCCACTAGGCCCTGGATTTGGATTTTTGGATGTGGTTCTTTTCCTGAACAGTCTGATCCTGTCTTGATGCCAGGAGGCGGCGGCAGCAGCCACAGCGCTCAGCCAGCCCCACATTCACAAGCACACAGCTGCTGTTCTAGAATACGCTGTGTTGCTGAGATAGGTCGGATGCTCCACAGGTTTTGAAAATTCAGTGCAGTTTTGACTTGTGATACTTTCAGCCTGCAGTGGGTTTGCAGGACATAACCTCCACTGTAAGTCAAAAAACCTCTCTCAGAACGTATTCAGCTGCATGCCCAAGCATGGCAGTAAGAGCCAGGGCTAAGATACATTGATTGATAAGCTTCACTCAGTAGTCCTAAGCAGATTTCATCTGAAGCGATAGATACAGCAGCAGTCATGTAAAGCCTTGCTTTTTTCCCTTCTGGAGAATTCCATATCATCCTGAGAACAGGCCTTAGCCAACGCCGTGTCTGCTCAGACTCCAGAGGAATCCCAGGATGCTGCACAAGATCCAGGCATACAGAGGTGCTCCTTTCTCCCAGGGCCTGGCTTTGGAAGGGTAGGGAGACTTAACAGATCCTCGTTGCTCCCCTCCATGGGACCTCCCTGTGTCCTGTGGGGACCCTGAGGACAGAGTGGCTTTCCAGACCGGCTTCTTCCTCGGTAGGGACTGTGGTAGAGGGAGTAGAGGCACTCAGTTGTCGTCCATCCCAATGGACTGTGAGCTCCCCTCGGCTGCGAACTTCTGAGTTGTGGGAAAGATGCGTCACTTCTCTGAGCTCAGATACCTGGCAGAGGACATCACCTACCCAGCAGTAAGAAGGAGTCACTGAGATGGACATTGAAAGTCACAAACAGCCTGCCTTCCATGGACACCCTGCTTCCTGGCCAAGCACCTAGAGGCGAGGAGTCCTATCACACACTCCCATTACCACAACTTTCCATTCTTGTGGACTGCACCCTCTAGGTTTATGAGTCAGAGTATCCTTCTTCTCTCAAGCTACTTGTTGGGGAACTCAGTCGCAGTGATGAGTACCTGGCACCGGACGGTGATGGGACATGGATGTTTTACTCAAGGCTTCACGAGGAGTCAATAGGGAGGACTCACGGTACACAACACGCAGAAGGTGTGGACCCCCTCATCAGACACCTTAGCTCTTCCAGGGTTTTCCTCACCATGATCAACCTCATCTCTTCTGCTTTCCTTGCAAGAGAAAATTTAAAGATCTCACTGGATTCTCCCAAGAAATCCAGTCCCCGCCCTCAGCTTTGTGCCCTGCACAGACACGGGCTAAGAACACACAGTCAACTTGGACCTAAAGCCTTTCAGTTTTTTCTGACTGCATCTCTCTGGTACTTTCCTCAGAGATGAAGAGAAACAAACAAACAAAACAACAACAAAAACAAAAATAAGAGAACACCCATGTAAGAAGTAAAAAGTCCCTCCCACTTCTAGATCTCTGGGGCTTCTGACTCTAAGGCCTGATTTGTTCAGTTCCCTATATATGCTACTGCTTGCCTGTATCAGATGGCTGCTGTTTCTATCCCATCATGCCTTGGGAGAAGTTTAACAAGAATATTAAAAGTGTGGGGTCAGCAGCTTCCATCTGCCATAGGAAGTAAACCAGAGCATGTAGCCTTGGCATCCTCTGAGCAATCAACAAGAGGCCTAGCTTCCTGGCAGAATAAAACCCTCCACCACAGACTCCACCCCCACCAGCAGTGAGTGTGTGTGGCGTACCTCTTCAGCTGCGCCCTGCTCCTACCTGAAGGCCTGGGCATATACAACTCCTCTCAGTGTGACAGTAAAAAATAGAACTAAGCTTCATCCACCAATGTGTCAGTCTGCATCTTGGATAAAAGCAGGTTACTTATTCTATCTGGACCTCAGTTTCATCATCTATAAAGCATACTCTAGTGGTTTGAATGAGTATGGTCCCCACAGGCTCATACATTCAAATGCTTGGTCTCTAGTTAGTGGGATTGTTCTGAAAGAATTAGGTGTGGCCTTATTGGAGGAGATGTGTCACTGGAGGCGGGGTTTGAGGTTTCAAAAGCCCATGCCAGGCTGAGCCTAGCTCTTTCTGTGCCTCCTGCTTGTGGACCAGATGTGAGCTCTCAGCTACTGCTCCAGGGCCGTGCCTTCATGCCACCATGCTCCCCACCACGATGGCCATGGACTCACCCTCTGGAACAGTAAGCCATCCCCCAATTAAATACGTTCTTTTACAAGCCTTGGCCGTCGTGTCTCTTCACAGCAACAGAAAAGTAACTGACACACATGTGTATTTCCTTCCTCAGTGGACTGGGTTCAGACCCAGAACCTGACACAGCAGAGTGATGACCTCCTCCTGGTTGGTCTCAAACACCTGAGTGTGGGCTTCCAGTCCCCACCTGATTGCCTTCATTCTGAGGGAGAGTTGAAGAAGGCCACATGTCTTCCTCAGAAGCTGGCTCTTCTGCCACGTGAGTCCACATTCCTCTTTCCTTCCGGGACCACAAAACCATCACTGTTTTTCTCAGATAAGAGAAAATGAGCCAGTGCTCATCAACTGGGCAGATTTTGCCAAGCCTCCAGTCCCCAAGGGAGACTTGGGGATGCCTCCAGACATTTTTGCTTTCACAGCTGGGTTGGGGTGCTAATTGATGGAGGCCAAGGATGCTACTGAACATCTCACAGTGGCCAGGAAAGACCAACATAGCAAGGGATCCTCGCTTCAAAATAGTGTCAGGGCTGAGGTTGAAAGCCCTGTACTAAACCTAGTGGGTCTTTGGGTTTCATCTGTATCTCAAATGTGTATGCTTATGGACAAACAGTATATTTTTATTAAGTGGGTAAAGAAGTTGTCAGAGGTAGCCATGTGAAGGGTCCCCTCAAGGACAAATTCTCTGGGAGAAAAATACCAGGTGTTATCAAGTGAGTAAATTCTGAGGTGATTTTCCATTTATTTAGTGGTTGTCTGCCTGTCTGTGGTGCTGGGGAAGGAACCCAGAGTCTTGGGGACACTGGAGAATCACTTTACACTGAACTACATTCCTAGCCCTGGATTCTTTTCTTTCTTTTTCTTTCCTTTTCTTTTCTCTTTTTTTTCTTTGATTCTTTTCTCTTTTTCTTTTTTTGGACAGGATTTCTCTGTGTAGCTTTTACCTTTACTCCTCAAGTACTGGGATTACGGTGTGTCCCATCCCGCTGGAAGGTCCCCTTGTATTTTAAATCTTACAGTGTGATTTGGGCAGTAAAGAGAAACAAGTACATCGGGCTGGAAGTGTAAAGCAACAGGCCAGTTCCTGCAGGCCCAGTGACCGCCAGTCTCAGCCTACCAGCTGGGCCATCTGCCGACACCCAGTATGCTTTGAAAATGCATGAGATGAAATCACACCAAGAGTGCGCAGCATGTGGAGGGTAGGAAAATCCATCCATCTGAAAACAATTTAAGTAGGGTTTTTAAATTCATTTAGTTCCTACTTCATTGTTCAGTAAGTCAGAAAACAGCAGCATCGACAACCAGAATAACGGTAGAACAGACAGGAAGAATTTCTAGTTTGACTCATTTTTTTTTCTTTAAACATTTTTTTGCAAGAATCTATTTTATTCTGTCAAGTCGTTAAATATTGTCAAACCAATTTGTGTATACACAGAGTCTAGGTAGAACAGTAGAGTGTGGGAGAAAAGCACTTAAAATACCTCCTACATTGTAGGACATGTAGCTTTCTTAATAGTGAAAAAAAATGATATTTATAAAGAAGTGAAGTTGTGATTAAAATGAAGTGGGAAAAGACTCCAACAGAACACAAAAGGTTCATCGGCACAAGACACTTAAATGTCCTTTTCATTCAAAGCCATTGAGAGAGTTAGATCCCAAAATACTACTAGAGGACTCGTCACTCCCCACAATTCTTAGCTGAGCATGTGGGATACAATAAATGCTGTTAGTCACTGTCAGCAGTGGGGATAATTTGCATATGATTTACATACAATCTTTTAGCAGGCAGATTAAGGCATTCACAAGTCTGATCTTTTTTCTAAAAGGGGATCCATTGACAAGTGGATTGTTTTCATTGTGTCAGACTTCCATCAGCTTTCACCCCTGCCTCTAATCACTGGATATTAGCAAGCTCATAGATTGTCCTTTTGATAAGTATATTAATATTCTGATCAGGAAAAGGAGGCATGACAATATTTGATCTTGATCACTGAACTTTGCAGTGGTCAGGGAATAGAGGGCTGAGTTTGGTTCTTCACTGGAAAATGCCAATGTTAAGAAACTATAAAGCACATTATTTATGAAAGAGAAACATGCCCTGCCATGAATTAGTGTCAGCGAAGACTTCTCTAATGGATACAATGTATTTGATGAGCTTATCTTACCCATATATTCTTGCTATAATCATCTACTTATGTACTCCTTGATTCATTTATCCTGCTTCCCACAAATGATTCTGGGAGGCACTCATGCACATCCAATATATTAGCTGCGAGGCGAGTACTTTTAGGGGCAATCTCGTGTGCTTGTAGAGAATGGAAAAGAAGAGCAGCTGCCTCTTTAGATGACTGGTAATGCGCCTGCAAAGTGTGTGTGTTTCAAATAAGACCTCCAGAAAAGCTGTAGTGAGAGAGCTGTTAGCAGCATCGACGTGGCTGTATATTTCCACCATGTTGGGATTTACTGAATGACAATAAATCACGCTATATTGACATTTTTTCAGTTTCCACTCACCACATATTCATCATTCCCTTGGAACTTGTAGCCATCGACAAACACAAGTTCTTTCAACCCAGTTGCTAATACCAACTATAATCACATTGAGTTTCACACAGTTCATGGGTGCAGAACAGCTAAGGAGGGGTTAAAGTGGTTCAGCAATTCAAAGGGCTGGATACAGGATATACTCTGCACTGGACCGTGACTAAAGTCAGGGCATGGATTGGATGTGTCTTGCTCACATGGGAGAACCTCATTCTCATCGGAAAGTTTATCTCTAACGCTACTGACACATTCCTTCACTGGTATTAGAGCCTACTTCTTCAGGATTCCAACATAGTCTGAAGAGCAGCTGAGACATCCAGCCTTGTGGACTGAACAACTACTGGATTCTTGGTCTTTTGATCAGGAGACAGCCATTGTTGGACTAGCCGGATTATAGCCTGTAAGCCACTCTAAGAAATCCCTTTTAAAATACGTTCATTCTGTTGGTTGTATTCCTCTAAAGGACCCTAACTAATACAATGGATGGACGGGAAGGATGCATGGCTTCAGGATAGGGTATCCCTGGAGTGCAGTAAAGACAGGAATGTGGTGGCCATGACATTGAACTCTAGATGGCCGAGCTAGGCACTGTACCTGTAAACCTTTGCTCAACAGAGCTTAGACACAAGTATGAAGACCAACTCACATTCTAATCTTGGGTGTGGGAGCCAGATGTCTATTACATTCTTCTCGAAACTTTTCAGTGTATGGAACTATTTAACGTTTCAATGGTGAGAGCTTAAAGTGATGAAGAGGGAGCTTGAGGACTGATTTTTTTTTTTCCCCTCTCGATTCTCTCAACTGGTGGTTCTCAACCTTCCTAATGCTCCCACCCTTTAATACAGTTTTTCATATTGTGGTGACCCCCAACCACAAAATTATTTCATTGCTACTTCATAACTATAATGGTACCACTGTTATTAATTGTAATGTAAATATCTGATATGCAAGACATCTGATATAAGACCTCCAAAGGGGTCATGACCCACAGGTCGAGAACCATGGCATGAATAAGAATGCTGGAGCAAGCCGCTGTTCTTGCAGAAAAATTGTTTTCCTAGCCACATAGTTAAGAGCTGTCCTAGGAAACTGCAATTAAAAATCTCTCATGAGATAGGTGGTGTAATCTGCTATACATTTTAGAACACGTGCAAATACTGACTTACAGAATACACACCATCTTGCTTCCCCCTTGTTACTGCCATGCATAATAGACTCCATCTCTACACTCAGAGGGTATGTTCCCAGATGCTGGTCTGTGGGTTTATTTGACATTGCGGGCCTGTTTCACCAGGTTCAGGGTTCCCTCCGACTCAAATACAGATTTGTAGAGAAGAAGCTGGGGTTACTGTAGAAAGTGAACAACAAAAACAGAAGCTTGGGGGAGGGAGACAGAGATCAGAAACCAAGGGGAGCAACATAAAATTAAACCGAGAGCGGATTTGGGGCAGATCATGTGCCAGCCTCCACAGCCATCTCTTTCAAAGGCTGGCTTAGTTGAACATGATTAACCTGAACACAACAAATTCAAGAAGGTTTTAGACTCTTCCATGCAAGGCCCCTCCTCCTGCCCGGGCCACACTAAACGATCCTTCCAAGCCATTCATTTTTCTCTGGAGTCCATTTACCTGTGTGGGAGCTGCAGATAGTGTCTGCTCCCCTTGCCACAGGTTCAGGATCCCCTGTTGGACATCCCCATCCAGCCAGACCTTTGTAGGGCAGTGGGTCTATTTCTACTAACGTTTCTACTCTCTCCACTCACATGCCAGGGTTGGCTACTAAGTGCTTTTAAAAATAAAACTAAAAGGCCTCAAAAATGGTGCTGATTAACTCAACCATGTGTCTGTACTATCTACCCGTAAGGCCCTCATCAGAGCCCTCCAGTCATATTTAAGCATTTCCTCCTCTTCTAGGTCTCCACAGGGCCTTTTCAAACTGTGCAGCACCCTAAGTCCTTCACACTCACTAAGAACCCAGGCATCCTTTGTTCTGATGATGGCAGCTTGCTTTATCCCTTACCTTCCCTACATCTTCTTTGGGGTTCTAAGAAAATGGCTTGAGTGTGGCCTAGCACAGGGCTGAGGGATGGAACCTGTGACCAGGTCTTGCTCGGTCACTTCCGGAAATCCCAACTTCGATTGGCTCAGAGGTGATCACATGCCCCAAGGGCTGACCAATAAGAACCATGTAAATCCTTGTTCTGTGCTTTGGTGAGGTACAGGTCTTTGCCTGATCCCTTATTTCTAACTGTGCTATAGTCTCCCCTTATTCACAGATCCCTGAAACCATAAATAGTAATGGACCTTGTATAAAGTTTAATTTAAAATTTAAGAAGGGCATGTTAGCACATGCCGGTAATCCCAGCACTTCAGGAGGCTGAGGCAGGAGAATTGCCACCTGTTAGAGGCAAAGTATTAGCAAAAACTAAGAATATAAAATAATTACAATAATGTTATATTAAAGTTTAAATGAAAGCATTGAATTATTTCTGGAACGTTCCATTTGGTATCTTCACACCATAGCTAACCACGAACTAAAGCTTTGAAAAACAATACCACCAGGCAGGAGGGACTGCTGTTCTTGGTCTTCAGAGGCTGAGCCAGGGACTGGGCAGTAGGCCTGAGAGCAAAAGCCAATGCAACAGGGAGTCATGGGCAATCCCCCCCTCCCCCCAAGCATCACTGTAACTGTGGGGCGCTGTGCTGAAACTAGCCCTGGCCTCTTCTGTACTGCAGAAGGCGGTGACTTCCCGCTGCAGTCAGTCAAGAAGCTCGCTCTGTCTGTCCTTCTATTTGGGACATTTGCAAAGGGCCATTCCCACTCTCTACATCAGCCTGGGCCATCCTCCTGTCCAGGCTGAGTCGCACTCAGTGCTCACCTTCATCCGGTGGCCCGTGGCCCGCCTCCCGCTCCACAGGGAAGATAGAAACCCCAGGTCCCCGCCTCCCTCTGCTGCTGCCCCACCTACCCACACCCTCAACAACAACTGGGCTATCACAAAAGATGCCCTGCCTCCTGCGGGCTGAGGTCTCACCGCCCCTCCCTGGATCCCGCATCCTTTCTCCGGAGCTTGGCTAGTCAGTCACCCCTCTTCCTTTGACCTCAGTCTTTTCTGCTCAGAGGTATCTTTATCCTCAGCACATGAACTTAGGGAGGGAGGGAAGGGGAAGAAGAAGGGAGCAAAAGAAGGGAAGATTCCTTTCTTCCAGAAAGCCAGCCCTCCCCCACCCCCTCTTTATGGGCTCTACAGCATGCTCTGTGCAAATGCAGTCTATGCTGGTTCTTTCTCACCGTCCACTACAATTAGGATTCTGCCGCGTCGTTTCTCCGAATCTGCCAAGTGCAATAGCCTACTTTCAGCGCTGTCCTCTTCTTTCACAGCCGGCCTGGCAGGCAGCCCCCTCCCGGATCTCACCGCTCCAGCTCAGTGACTCTGCCCTCGCTTCCCTTCCCTCCAGCCTCTTTCAGATCACAAAGCCTGTTGACATGCTGGCAAAACCCACCGTTGGTTTCCCTAGAAACAACCACTTTGTATGGTGCTGGTCCAGATCCTCAGCAGCAGACTGCAGCATCCCCAGAAGATAGGCAGTTCGTATAGTGGTAAGCGGGATGGAATTTTCAGAAATTTAACCCATACAGCAGCACTGGCCTGCGTCTGTCCAGGGAGAAAGCTTCCAAATCAGAAACTACCACCCAGCTGTTGACACAGAAAAGCTGTCTTTCTAGGGTTTGTGGACCCATATCCCATATCAAGTCTACATGGAAGAGGTTTCCTGATTTTATTAAGTAACCCCCTCCCTGAAGCTCCTTCATCTCAGCCCGAGGCATAGCTATAAAAGAGCGTAAGTGAGGTTTCCAACTTTCTAACCTCTTAGGTTAGCTTTTGCCTCAGTGCAATCGAATTTCTTGTCATACACAGTTTACAGGAAGAAGCATTTATTGGGGTCCATGGTTTCAGAGGTTTCTTTTCAGTTCATCACAGTAAAACAGCTCAATTTGTGACCACAGGGGTGTGTGATGGAGGCTACTCCCATTAGAGCAAACCAAAATGTAAAAGCAAGACAGGAAGTAGTCAGACAATGGACCCCCAAGGACCCACCCTGATTGGAGGCACATTTCCAATGTAAACCCTAACACTTTGCCTGATAAAGGGTTGTAAACATCAATTGGCTGTGTAACCACAGGCTTGTGGTAGTTACTTTCTCCTGACAAAGACAGTTTCAGGGAAACCGGTTTAATTATTTAGGTTATAGTTCTTGGAGTACAGTACATCATGACCCAGAAGTCCTGGCAGCAGGAGTATGAGAGAGCCGGGCACATTGGAACCACAGTCGGGCTGCAGAGAACCTCTGTCCACGGGTGCTCAGCTAGTTTTCTTTGTGTGTAGACTAGGACCTGAGCTAGGGAATAGTGCTGCCCACCACTGGGGTGGGTCTTCTCACTTCATTTAACCCAATCCAGACAATTCCTCACACATGTGAGCAGAGGTTTATTTAATCTGTATAATCCTTCACAAGTGTGCCTGGAAGTGTGTCTCCTGGGTGATTTCAGATCCTGTTGGCAATCAACAGTGAGTATCATATCTGTAGACAAAATTCAGAGACCAAAGCTCAAGAACCGAGTTTCACATGCTAATGTCCCAAGGGCCTCAGGAAAGAAGGTTTGTACAAGTACTGGAAAGCACACATTATATCACCTTTTCTTTCTTTCTTTTTAAAAAAAAGATTTAATTTTATTGTGTGTTGTAAGGATGTTTTACCTGCACGAATATCTATGCACTATGTGTGTGCCTGGTGCTCTTAGAGGCCAAAAGAGGTCTTGAGATCCCATGGAACCAGAATTACAGATGGTTGTGAGCCACCCTGTGTGTGCTGGGAAAGAACCCACACACAAACACAACCATCTCCTCAACCCTGAGATCACTTTTTTTTCTATTTTTTATTTTTATTATTAAGAAATTTTCTATTCCTTTTATGTACCAACCACAGATCCCCTTCTCCTCCCTCCTCCCTCCTCCCACCCCCCAGCCTTCCTCCCCAGCTCACCCCCCATTTCCATCTCCTCCAAGGCAAGGTCTCCTGTGGAACTCAGCAGAGCCTGGTTCATTCAGTTGAGGAAGGTCCAAGGTCCTCCTCCCTAAACCAAGGCTGCTCAAGGTGTCCCACCATAGGCACTAGGCTCCAAAAAGCCCGCTCATGCACCAGGGACGGATCCCGATCCTACTGCCTGGGGGTCCCCTAAACAGTTTAAGCTAAACAACTGTTTTGACTATCCAGAGGGCCTAATCCAGTCCCATGGGGGCTCCACTGCTATTGATCTACAGTTCATGAGTTTCCACTAGTTTGGCTGGCTGTCTCTGTACGTTTTCCCATCATGATCTTGATGTTCCTTGCTCATCAAATCCCTCCTCTCTCTCATTGATTGGATGGAGCTTGGTCTGGTGCCTGGCTGTGGATCTCTGCATCTGCTTCCATCAGGTACTGGATGAAGGCTCTTTGATGACAGACAGTTCCTGGGAACTTCCCTAGCACCCTGTTTCTCCCTGTTCCCATGATGTCTTCATTTATCATGGTATCTCTTTCCTTCCTCTCCCACTCTGTCCCTGTTCCAGCTCAAACCTCCTGTTTCCCTATGTTTTCACCCCCCATCCCTTGCTCTCTATTACCCCCCTCACTCCTAGTTTGCTCATGTGAATCTCATCTATTTCTCCTTCGCTGGGCCTTCTATGCATCCCTCTTAAGGTCTTCTTTGTTAGCTAGCTTCTCTGGAGGTGTGGGTTGTAGTTTGGTTATCCTTTGCTTTATATCTAGTATCCACTTATAAGTGAGTACATACCATGTTTGTCCTTCTGAGTCTGAGTTACCTCACTCAGGATGATATCTTCTAGTTCCATCCATTTGCCTGCAAATTTCATGATATCATTGTTTTTAACAGATGAGTAATAGTATATGTGCCACATTATCTTCATCCATTCTTCAGCTGAAGGGCATCTAGGTTGTTTCCAGGTTCTGGCTATTACGAATAATGCTGCTATGAACATAGTTGAGTATATGTCCTTGTATGATTGAGCATTCCTTGGGTATTTGCCCAAGAGTGGTGTAGTTGGGTCTTGAGGAAGATTGATTCCCAATTTTCTGAGAAACCGAGATCCTGATTTCCAAAGTGGCTGTACCAGTTTGCACTCCCACCAGCAGTGGAGGAGTGTTCCCCTTGCTCCACATCCTCTCCAACATAAGCTGTCATCAGTGTTTTTGATCTTAGTCATTCTGACAGCTGTAAGATGGTATGAGATCACTTTATTCATTGGTTCAAACAGGCAGCAACTCCAAGAATGGTGCCAGCTCTAGGAAGCGTGAGAGCTTGAGCACTGGACTTTGATGTCCAGAACCTCTTTGCCCTTCCCAGCCCTGCTCACCAGGTTTACCTCCGTGTCAGACTCCCACTGCAAGATTAGAGAGTGAATGGCCATTTCCAGTTACATCACTGTCAGTACGCAACACCAGCAAGCATAGGGCCCTTCCCCCAAATACCCCTCACAGAAGACACAGAAGGATGTCTCCCCAAACCAGTGTCTCAAGTGGACTCGGTGGGTTACTCGGTGGAGACTCTCAGTGTAATCAAGACATTGGTAAAGATGCTGTCTCCTGTCTGCAGGAAGCTTTATTTTTCAGGGGGAGAAGGTGAGAGTTCTGAAACACAACAAAAAGTGTGTGCAGCAAACACACAAACCAGTTACAGTCACAGTTGTCCTTGTCGAGTAGCATGTACTATCCACGGTTGTGTGCAGTGTGCTTGTAGTGGGCAGTTTGGCAAGTCTGTGTCCACCATCGCCACCACACGCACTTTGCCACAGTGTTCTAAGCACTATGACAACAGGGCCTTTTCAGTTCCATTATAATCTTATAATGAGGCCGCTGTCATGTAGTTGGTCATTTCTTTTTTATTTTTTAAAAAGTAATTGTGTTGTGGTCTGTGGACATGTGGTTTAGCAAGTGGTGTTGTATGTTCTTTAAATTGTGTCATGTAATTTAGGAAGAACAGATACCAGACAGGCGTTGTGGCTAACAACCATAACCCTAGCACTTGGAAGGTGAGGTAAGAGGATTGTGGTGAGTTTGAGATCAGCCTGGACTATAGAATGACACTGTCTCAAAACAAAGAAAATCCCAAAATGAAGAACAAAATAGGAAGTTCCCAGGAAGAGTTTAATGTGGCCTACCTATAAAGTTTGAGGAGAAAACATGTTCACACAAGTGGGTGATAAGATACTGAAAACCACTTTGCAAACCTTTCAAACATTTATAACAGTTGAAATTAGGTTTAAAGAATCAAGCAGCTCTGCTCTCTCCTCCTTCGTGGCAGTTCTTATGGTGAGGGCAAATGGGTTTTGAATTCAGTTGGACGCTTTGATGCTGAACTTTTACAGTGGAGACTCTTGGCTCTGCATTTCTCAGATGTTTCAGAGTACCAGCCCACACACCAGCAGAGTGTGGTGCAGAGTGTGGTCCAGAGTGCGGTCCATATACATGAAGTCAGAGACTCAGGTGAGGTCCCTTATCTCCACCTCAATGCAGGCTGCAAAGACCCTCTTCCTTAGATGTTTCCAACACAGACTCCACCATCAGCCCCACCTCCCTGCTCCCTGTTCTGGCTTGAGGCAGAAGAAGGTTTTCAAGCGCTGTGTCACCCTGCTTGCCCTTCCCAGCCCTATAGGCAGCTGGGTTTCTCTTCCCATCCCTGCAGGAAGTTCCAGGTGCTCCCTTCCCAGTCCTGCAGGAAGTTCCAGGTGCTCCCTTCCCATCCCTGCAGGAAGTTCCAGGTGCTCCCTTCCCAGCCCTGCAGGCAGATCCAGGTGTTCCCTTCCCAGACATGCAGGAAGTTCCCAGGCATGGCTGAGGAACTGACATAAAGGCAAACAGGAGTCCAGTCCCAATATCCCCCAAAGGCATGCCTCCCGGTGACCACATGTCTTCCCACCATCTCCTACCTACTAAAGGCTCCACCACCTAGCCGTGGCATCATGGCTGGGGCCCATACCTAACACAAGGGCCTTTGGGAGACATTGAACTCAATCTGCATCAATTCTTTCCTTCCCTGGCATTCGGAGGTCAAGAGGTCAAGCTGATGACATTTGGCTCAAAGCTCCACCCTTTCTGGCATAACCAGCTTTATCCTAAATGGTCACTCGTGAACTCAGTGTGGCCTCAGGGCACACCAGGAAGCAGGCAGATGCTCCTGAGAAGTTCCAAAAGCTTTCAGGTTCTCTCTCAGAAAGAAGAAATAAAGATCAGACTTTATTCTGCCCAAATCCCTAAGAGAGTATCAGTTTATAACCATAAGATAAAAAGGCTGATAAAGCTGTAACGGTAATATGAAACAAAATGATCAATTAAAATGTACCAGCCCCTAAGCCGGGAGCACACAGACCTTTTGTCATCATTTAAAGATCTACAGGCCGGCAAATGCCACTATCAGAAGGCCAGTTTGTTCTTGAACCAAACATTGGGCTTGTACTTGCTGGCCAATAGGACTGTACGCCCACTATAGAAAAGCAGAAATCCCCTTGGGTCCCATAGAAAGGCACATAAAGGTGGGCATGGTCAACATGTTGGGCCTCCAGCATACCTGAGAGGCTGAGAGAG